AGAGGAGGAGGAGGAATTTTGGTTAAAAAGAGGATTTAAATGGAAAAAAAAAATTCTGGCCAGATTGGGATTTTTTTTTTTTTTTTAAATCTCACCTTTTTTTTTGTCAATTTAATTTTATTTTTTAATTTTTCCTTGGATTTTTCGGGAGACGGAGGGATCCAGACGCCGGCGTGACCTCGCAGCTCTCTCCAAGCACGGACCCCAAAACCCTCTAGATTTGGGGTTTTTTTGGCTGGTTTGGGGTGGTTTTTGGTTATTTTTATTATTTTGGGGGTTTTTAGGTTTGTTTATTCAGGCCGGGAGGAAGAGGAGGAATCCTCATTGAAGCCGATGGATCGAGAAACGACCATTTTTGCCGAAGAAAATAATAAAAAATTGGTTTTGTTTTTTTTTTTTGGGGGTTTTTTTTAAAAAAAAATGGCGAAGGGGGGCTCTTGGCAAAATTACCTGGAAATCCACAGATTTTTTCCTCTTTTCCACCCCTTTTTTTCCACACACAGTCTGGTTTTACACCCTCGGGGAATGGGATGGAGCCGGGAAGTTCCTCCTCCTGCCGATGGGGCGGCCGGTTCATTAAATCCGGAGGGTTTGGAGGCGCCTGCGGACCCTGGCGGGGGGTAGACGGAGGTTGCACTTCAGTGGTTCCAGCCTTTTTTTTTGGGGGGGGGGGGAATTACCCATTTTTTTTTTTTTTTTTTTTTAAAAAAAAACCATTTTTTAAAAAAATCCCGGAGGTTTTCACCTCCTTCAGCCCCCAGGGCTCGCTCTTTTTCGCCACCGCAGGGTTTTTTTATCTCCCCCTTTTGTTTCCAAACTCTCCAAGAGTCTCTTTTTTTTATTTTTAATTTTTTCCACCTTTTTTTTCACCAGAGTCGCAGTTTTTTTGGGGTGTTTTATCTTTTTTTTTTTATAAACTTTGGGTCTTTTCGCTACTTTTTAGCAAAGACCCAGCTCGGTTCCAGTTTTGAACCCCCAAAAATAAAAATATTCAAAAATATTCCATATAAACCAAAGAGCTCCCCCCGTTGGGGAGGGGTTTCACGGGGGGGGGGAAACATCCACCCGCCCCCGTTTACTGTGTTCCCCAAAAACCAGGATTTTTTTTTCCTGCCAGATCCTGGGCACCCCCGTTTCCTGGATTTCTCCCCCCCCG